GTCCCGTGGCGTCATCGTCGATATACGTACGTCACATATTAATGTCTTGTTCGATTCGAATCGTATGTCGCAGAAACAAGTGCGTTGTAAATAATTTGATTCTTGTTCTCAGATATGAAGTAGTCATCCTTGGAGCTGCTAGGATTGAGTTTTCATTTGTAGCTATCAGTTTTAGAGTTAGATACAAAATTCTCAAAATTTACAAAATTCTAAAATTTCCTAAATTTCCAAATCTTATTGTTAGAAATTCTCAAGACCTCCAAAATTCCCAAAATTCCCAAATCTTAGAAATTCTCAAGGCTTCCAAAATTCTTAAAATTTCAAAAATTCGGAAATTTCCTAAATTTCCAAATCTTTGAAATTCTCAAGATCTCCAAAATTCCCCAAATTTCCAAATCTTAGAAATTCTCAAGATTCCTAAAATTCTGAAAATTCCTAAATTTCCAAATCTTAGAAATTCCCAAAATTCCCAAATTTCCAAATCTCAGAAATTCCCAAAATTCCCAAATTTCCAAATCTCAGAAATTCCCAAAATTCCCAAATTCCCGAATCTCAAAAATTTGACAAGGTTCTCAAAATTCCTAAATAACCAAATTCGCAAAACCCCAAATTTTCAAAAGGAATTACAAATAGAACTCAAACAAACTACATCAATACGCGCTACATGTACATATGTACCAATATGTATCATACAATTGTACAAAACATCTAATCATGCATTTTACACAAAAAAACCATATACTCAATCTTCCATGTTTTCGATAATAAAATTGCGGAAATATTCAAGGTACAGACAAACATTTCGATGAAGAGTACATATAGAATTAATTTGATAGAATAATACATGAACGTATGCTTTTATCGTAACGTTAAATGGAAATTAAGTAAAATGCAAAGTTGCGTTCTCGTTTTTCATTTTTATACTGTGCCTACGAGATTCGAAGGTTGGCTGATAAAACCGGAAGTTCTTGCTCGCTTATCCTTAAAAGTATTCATTGCTATGCGTTTTACGCGCAATTGTTACGAGTGCAAATGTACGACAAGTTATTGCCTTATTCTAGAAAGGATTTAAAGAGGTGTTTTAGTTTAAAATGTTTGGTTTATGATTAAATGATGAAGTCGTCGCGATCTACCTCGAGAGAGCAGTTTGCTACGCATCTCTAGCCCTTTCGTTGCTTTATTTATTAATACACTCATCGGATTTTGTTTATTTTCAACCCTTTACTTATTCACGTTTTAACTTTTTTATGAAAAAGATTAGTTATGGTACAAAATAATTCTTGTTTAATTTAATAATGTGTATATTTGAGCGTTCTACGGTAATATTACAAAATGGCCGACGGTGAAGAGTTCAATGTTAAATATTTTATTCTAAATCTTGTAATCATTGGAAGTATTTATTAATATTTGTTAGGTAGTAAATTTAAATATACATTTAATAACGATGTAATAATCTTTTTAATTCATCAAGGTTCATCATTGAAAAAACAATGATTTCTATAACTACCATTAATGTACGTCGGTATGGCTTTTGTAAAATTTTACGAATTAATTCAATATAAAATATTGAATTGAAATTTTTTAATTAAATGCAAACGTAAAATATTATCATCGACAAAATTATAAAATTACTTCGTTTTTCTAGGTATTGTTTTGAGAAATACTACTTAAAAGTAACATTGACAATGTGCAGCAAATGCTATTACACTGAATTTATAATATAATATAATATAAATTATTAAAATTATTAAGTTTCAAATGATTTATTAAAATTATTAAGAGCATGAAAGCTCAATTGCAATTAATCGCAGAGAAACCATAACTGGTGACTAAAACCAATTTTCGTTGCAATTAATTACCAATGCAAACTCTATTTTCCAATTAAAATTCTCTACAAAATAAAATAATTGCATATGTTAAAATTACGAAATCTTCAATTCTTACATAATATCCGAAATTCATAACAGACTACCTAAAAATGAAGTCAGTCTATAATTTTAACCAGCGGCGCATGCTTCTGCGCATGCGAAGCGATTCATTGCAAAACTTTCACGAAATTGTTTATTTAAATCGCAGTTATATGACGTGGAGACCTTGGTATCGATCTCGAAACATTTGTCTCAATTCTCGAAACTTGAACAAATAAATAACCAATTTTCTCGGAAATTCGTATAAATCTCTGAGAGAAGAGAACCGAGGTCCGACACTCGAACGATAAATTACCGCTAACATCTTCGTCAACGAGGGCGCGAGGGTCCAACTTTCGCGAAAGGGTTGCACCAACACAGGTTTCACCCTCCTAACGATTAATGCTCTCAACACTTACGAAGTGACAAACCGAAAACATTTCCCCTTCGATTCATTTCAGATGTGTGCAACCTTGCAGCCCCTTCGATTCTACCCCGGAAAACAATAGCGATTACGTTGCAAACGATGTACAAAGTGGTTGTTTGTCAATGAGCGATTCGCATTGCAGTCGCATCGAAAGGGCTAGGTAGATCGTAACGCGTCGAATAGACCGTAACTACTAAGTAGTGTATATCGATGTGCGTCACGAAGGGTAGCACGTTTCGTTTGTTTAACGAACACTGCCACTTTGGATTTTATCACCACGAAAAACAGCACGTTTCTATTTTGGTCTTGGGAAGCGGGTTTCTGTTTTCTTTGGCGACGAAGAGTAGCCTGTGCTCTTTTGGTTATGAGGTGAAGTAAGTTTCAGTTAAATCCCAATATCAATAGATACACTCTGGCATTCCTAGATCTTGATATCCTAAGACCCTAATATCGGTATCTTTAGATTTAGATATACTTGAAGTCTTATATTGCTACATTTTGATATCTCAATATTTTAAGAACTCGATATTTCTAGAGTCTAATATTTGGAGACACCAGTATGTCCAGATGAAGATATTCCTAGATCTTAATGTTCCTATATCATCATATCCCGACATTTCGATACTCTTAAGTTTCTATATCCAAGTACCATATTCTCTTTGAGTACTACGTCCTCAAGGAACTACGTATTCCTACGTCCAAATGTTCCTAGTTCCGAATTACCTATGTCTTGAAATATCAAGTAATAACTAAATTCCGACATCTTTACATCCCAATATCCGTAGCTACAGACATCATACCTATATCCCTATTCATGTTATTGAATTCTCAAATTCCAAATATCCTCCCGTCTCTCCATATTCTCATATCTCCATAATATCATACCTTCTCCTTACTTAATATCTTCTTCATTTCATAAGTCCCAAAATCCCAAAACTACTAAATCACGATATTCTCAAAATTTCTACATGCAAAAAGTCTCCACATTCCTCAAAACTTCACGTATTCTGAAAATTTCTACAATCTTGAAAATACATATGTCCCTATATTCCTATATCTATCTAGTTATCGAAAATCTACGTTATTTTGTAAAATATTCTGAGATTGATAAGGTAAACGAAACATGCTACTTTTCGTCGCAGTGTGTAAAGTTTAGCATAATCCACGGTGAACTGTGAATTATGTTCGCTGCTAACGCGTCGAGTGCCACAGTGGAAAGTGACGTACATGGTCAGACGCACTGTAATACAGCTAAGTATTTAGTTTGATTTTTTAATTTGTTACTGTATAATTGAAACTTAAGAGTTGAATAAATGGCTGTTTTCTTGTTTTTTAGTTTTACATTCATCGTTCGAAATATATCATTTAAATAAGGCGTTACTGCAAATAGCTTGTAAAATAATAAGAAATGAGCTTATACGAATATCATAAATAAAATGTGTACTTTCGGTCAACAATAACTGAGAAAAAGCAGTTTATATAAATGTCTTTATGCGTGATTATGTATGAGAGGATTAACTTTCTCAGCGACGGTCATGACTTTGTATTAATACAAAAAATTACTAGTTACTGATGAATATGACCAAGAACGTTCCCTATTTCGTTATGAATTAAAAATGTATAGCCTTCGGAAGACAAACGAAATGTGTTACTTTTCGAAACGTACGCCGACACAGTACACACTGTTTCGAGCAATGGACAAAAATCAAAAATCATTACCATTAAATCTATTAAACGCTGATTGTCAAAATGTTTAGAAAGAAACGCAGACGTCAAATGTATCCTCACTTTTAATAAATGTATTAATTCCCTTTAAGAAGTGAGAGTAGAGGTCCACTGTTGATTTTGTTTTTTGGATACAGATAGCAACATTCGTAGGATATTTGTATATTTTATCACTAAATTCTTGTATTAAAATTCTCATATCATTTGTTGGTTTTAAATTAGGTATAGGTTAATATAATTTAACGCGTGTATGAAGTTTTGTAATATATTCAGATGTTATTTTAGGAGATTCATAATATAATACAATAATATTATCATCATGAAATATATGTAATTAGTGTCAAATTTAATTGCTTAAATTTGTCCACAATGAAGAACATGATTGATATCGTTGACGCGTTTGTCGCATTAGCCTTTAACCCTTATCCAAATATAACGTTGATGGACAACTATAATTTGTTGTTCTATAATAGTAATAATAGTATTCTATGATAGCAAAAGTTTAAAAAAATTTGTTCATTACAACAAAAAACCCCTACAGCTTTTTCAAAATACATCATTTCGCATTCCAATAATGATTACTATATTCACCCAATTGTCGAACAGAATTTTATTTTCAAGAAATTATATTTAGAAAATTATCATGCAAAGCTTTGTCTTCAAGGAATTATATTCAGAAAATCGTCGTGTCGGAGAATGTTATTATTAAAGAATGATTTTTACAAAATTATCCTGTAAAATAATTTTATCTTCAAAGAAGTATTATATAAGAAGATGATCGTATAAAAGAATTTTCTCTCGGTAGAATTATTTCGAAAGAAGTGTTAGAACTTAGACGAAGAGTCGATTAGTTTAGAAGTCGGTATCGCTGTCCCGAACGCCCATGTACTCGAAACGGTGTGCGATAGTAAGAAAAAATAAGTATAAGAGAAACAACATGCCCTGGCTCGAGGAGAGGACCCTGACTCTGTTTGTACGGGACACAGAGGTCCGCCGGTACGAACCAGGAGTGCGTGAACGCGGGGTTGATGTTGAGCGCCCCAGCGGCCCCTTGATGGGGTCCGCCGACATCGACGCCGACACCGACACCGACCCCGACCGGGCTTTGTCGTTGAAAGCCCCCATAATCCATGGCCATCTGATACGGCAACATCTCTCTTTCTCTCTTTTCCTTTAATAAATCTCTCCCTCTCAATATATCTCCCTCTTTCTCTCCCTTTCCTTCTCTTCCGATTCCTTCGATCACTGCCACTGCTCGTCGTCCGTGCACCACCGATTGTTCACGACCCGGTAACAACAACAACAACAACACTGAACAAAACCGGCACACCGCGAAACAGTCATATTCTGCGGCTGATCATCGTCCATCGCGCGAACCGTCCTCTTCCCGCGTCATCATCCAACCACCGTTTCATCGGCATCACCCGAAACGCGGAATCGAACAAAACGGATAGAAGAAAAAAAAAGGAACGGTGCCCGAAGACGAGGGTTCACGCGCGCGCACGTGCGTGTCAACAACTCGACGCCCGGACTGTCGCGTCGTGGACCAGCTGTTACAGGTCCAGGTCGGTCCCTTCGATCACGCACACGATGCGGGGGTTGCAGACAACTTAAACGGCTGGTTCGTGACCGAACGACAGACTAGCCCGGACTGTACCGGCTCTGTAACGTGAACCGCACGGAGAGCACTGTCGTGCGAGCGAGACAACCCTCGTTGGCGGAAAGAGGAGCGAGAAAGAGGGCGCGAGAGTGTGCGCCGAACGGTGGGCGGGCTTGCCCCGCAAGTATTATATAAGAAGATGATCGTATAAAAGAATTTTCTCTCGGTAGAATTATTTCGAAAGAAGTGTTAGAACTTAGACGAAGAGTCGATTAGTTTAGAAGTCGGTATCGCTGTCCCGAACGCCCATGTACTCGAAACGGTGTGCGATAGTAAGAAAAAATAAGTATAAGAGAAACAACATGCCCTGGCTCGAGGAGAGGACCCTGACTCTGTTTGTACGGGACACAGAGGTCCGCCGGTACGAACCAGGAGTGCGTGAACGCGGGGTTGATGTTGAGCGCCCCAGCGGCCCCTTGATGGGGTCCGCCGACATCGACGCCGACACCGACACCGACCCCGACCGGGCTTTGTCGTTGAAAGCCCCCATAATCCATGGCCATCTGATACGGCAACATCTCTCTTTCTCTCTTTTCCTTTAATAAATCTCTCCCTCTCAATATATCTCCCTCTTTCTCTCCCTTTCCTTCTCTTCCGATTCCTTCGATCACTGCCACTGCTCGTCGTCCGTGCACCACCGATTGTTCACGACCCGGTAACAACAACAACAACAACACTGAACAAAACCGGCACACCGCGAAACAGTCATATTCTGCGGCTGATCATCGTCCATCGCGCGAACCGTCCTCTTCCCGCGTCATCATCCAACCACCGTTTCATCGGCATCACCCGAAACGCGGAATCGAACAAAACGGATAGAAGAAAAAAAAAGGAACGGTGCCCGAAGACGAGGGTTCACGCGCGCGCACGTGCGTGTCAACAACTCGACGCCCGGACTGTCGCGTCGTGGACCAGCTGTTACAGGTCCAGGTCGGTCCCTTCGATCACGCACACGATGCGGGGGTTGCAGACAACTTAAACGGCTGGTTCGTGACCGAACGACAGACTAGCCCGGACTGTACCGGCTCTGTAACGTGAACCGCACGGAGAGCACTGTCGTGCGAGCGAGACAACCCTCGTTGGCGGAAAGAGGAGCGAGAAAGAGGGCGCGAGAGTGTGCGCCGAACGG